CACCACCACCACCACCACTGCTCCTGGTCCTGCTCTTGCTCCTGCGGCTGTCGCTGCTAGCAACGATGATAGCGATACCTCGTTTAGTCTAAACGCTTTACTGGCAAAACCGCGTGTTCCATCATCTGTTCTACCAATTTTCAATTGCACGCGCCCCAATCAAACAATCCTACAGCCTGGAATCCAGCAGCACCAAAAGCCAGGAGGCTCGACAGCAGAATGCAGAACCCTACATGACCGCCAATATTGTGGTTCCACATTCTTTGAATAATTGGTTGTCATTTGGACCCCTACATTAGACGCATTGAGTTTGATTCCAGCCCAGACTTCCAGGCTTGATCGCCCTTAACGTTTATATCCATTAGGCGGACCCCCGACCCCCACCCCGTAAGAGTGAATAGTAGGGATGATGGTGGGTTTTTAGGGCCAGTATTCGTCCTGTTATACCACGATTACAGGGTGGTAATATGTCGAGCCGACCCTAAATCCTAAACAAACCTTCCCGCTTTATTTCCCCGCCCACTCCCAACTGCTCTTCGCAATTTGCTCAGACTTAGGCGCTGGATGGCTACCTGCAGGGAAGTGGGCAACTCAGTTTCTTCGCCAGCTTGGGGCGGTGCCCAAGCTTGTAGATTGATGCTGTTGGTGGACGAGCTCCGGCAGGTCCCCGGTCTACCATAGTACTACAATTCCGATTTTTTAGGTAAAGAGGGTCATGCGAGATATTGCCCATCAAGCGCAAAAGGGGTTGGCCACGCTGCATGGAGGTCTGACGTAAGGTACGAACAGACCTTGAAGTTCCAAGCCCCCAAAATCCAGGAAGGAGTTCATCATCTCACCGTCTACGTGATCTGGGGAGAAAATCTAACAACCCCATACAGCTACCTGCAATGTGGTGCCTTGGTCTGGTCCTATGTGAGCCATAGTCTAAANNNNTCCCCCATATCACCCCTTTTAAGGAGTTGAGACTACAAGTCATAGTATTCTTGCAAAAGAAGTGCTGGATGAGCGTGATTCTCGTTTTGCCCGGGCGTATCGACAGTGCAGACAAACAACGGGATGGCGCATGTCTGTTGCATATTCCCCAAAGGCTCCATGTAGCTATATAGTATATACTTAGGGCCCAAAGGGGTTCCCATATAATCACTTTAGGGCCCAAGTATATGCCATGCCTACATGGAGCCCTCGGGTTCATCTCTAGAACCGTGAAGGAACATGAAATCCCCGTATTTTGTTTCTGATTGCACTGTCCGCAAGCCCATTGACAAATGGTGGTTTCCATAAAGTAAGGGGACTCCAACATACACACAAGGATACTATAACGCTTATTATAGGGGCCCCCGACATGGCACGACAATTCTGGGAAACCCCCATACCCCATATCCTGTAAAACTCATGGCAGCTCCTGGCATGTCGCGGCACATCCTGTGCTCTCCAAGCACAAGCAAACTTTCAAATATGCTTTACACGCGAAACAACGAAAGTCCCGTAACGCGGTGCAAAAGACATGGCCTGCCGCTCCAAACATATCTACACATCGAAGCCTCTAGAACTAGTTAATGCTGCCACTGCGGGCTGAACGGAGTGATAAGGATTGTAAGGGGATTGTAGGGTCCCTTACTTAGGATTCAATTTAGGCTATTTTGAGAAAGCACACGTGGGCTGCTTCCTTACGTAAATCTGTGCAAAGTTGCTGTCGCGGTACGTTGACCATTGAATGGTGGGTGTCTTTTGAAGAGTCACAGTGCTGACCATCCAAGCCCATATGCTAGCACAGAGTCAAGTCCTATGGTGCCTGGAAATCTTGATTGGTGCAGGCAGAGCGCATGTACAACAGAGTCGTTCTTCTGATCGGGCTACAAATGTCAACAAGACCCCTTTCCTGCTGACTTGTCCCATTCCGAAAGGATTCTGGTTCATGTTGAACATCATGAGCCAGTGCTATTTGGATTTTCCCCCACTATACTGTTCTCAACCAAAGAGGAACATGCATGCGGGGGGTTCTCTAAATCCTTCTATGATTCTAGAACAAGGATCCCTTCACGTTCCCCACATAACTGCATAATCTCTACAACTTGTAGCCCTGGGAGTTGGACGGGCATGCTTTTTTGTTGAGATTATGATTGTGCCGCCAGGATTCGGCCTTCCACCCGGCGAGCTTCCAGCAAAAGGTCCGGTGGTGAAATGCACTCGTATTGAACTCGAGCCTTTACGGTTCAGTTTCGAGTTTACGGTGAGGATAAGCCTTAAGCCCCAAGCCCAGGTAACCCATATAAGCCCAGCTGAGCTGTTACAAGACGGTCGATAGGCCCAGCTAGAAGTATAGATGCAAAGAGCTGCTAAGTCCAGGAGCCTACGAGGAGGGTCTAGTGAAGGGGGTCTACAGTGGTCTGGTACCCGGCCCTACAGCTCCACCACCACCTTTAGAGTGAAGATTCCCAACATGGTACCACTAACTACTGAAGCAAGTATTTTATCATTTACGGGGTGATAGGGGGATTACATGTTCCATGGGAGGATTCACCATCTGTATTGTATTGCTTGAAGGTCATGTCGAGACATACTTGTTTGAAGCCATACAGAATGACTTCGGGAAGCTGTCTGTCAGAAATTCTGAGTTTGTGCTTCAAGCTCCCTATAACTCCGAAATCCTAAATAGTAGTTTCCATTTTCTTTTCCATTATCACAACCCCCATATAATATATTCCCTACATAACCCCTATTTTCCCCCCCCCATTCCCTACAATCTCACAGATCTGTAATTGGCACTGGAGCGGCATGACCACAAACCGCCATCCAGTCTTCAGGCAGCAGGCTTCCTTTAATGACCATAGCATTTTGCATCAGGTTACCACAGTGTTTAGGATTTTGAGCTTGGGGTTTCAGTCCAGGTGGTTCAATCCTTTTTTGAGGTATCATGGGTATGTCTAACATGGATTTCCTGGAGGCACTGAGCTGGTGGCGTTATTCAGCGCAGCATGGGCCCCGTTTCCCGGCTCCTTATTTTACACACCAGCTGAATGCAGAGAATGAGGTAGAGGCCCAACGCGTCATCTCATATCCTTTGAAACTAAACCCTAAACCCTACACCATGTGACCTTTTTGCCGGTTAGCGCTTGGGAAGACCTCCACGTTGTTACTTGGAGTTCGCGGCATCCTGCCTACAACCTCAGCAGCCCTCAGCCCCAAAATCCTAAACAATAGGGAAGTATTGATTAGATTTCTGTACTGGCTCGGTAGAACCACCCAATATGATCCCAAATACCCCTGTGGTAGGCCCTATATAACCGCATCTATGCCCCAACAGAAGTTCCTATGTAAGCCCACATATTACCCCCAGATGTACCTCACACCCTACTCTAGGCATCTAATTCCTTGCATTCCCCGCTCAAACCTTTTCTTCGCTCGTGGAAAAGCCCAACTGTTGAAATCCCTCCGCTCCGTACATGCAACTGAAACGTTGAGGACATCCTAAGCCTCAATATTTTTAGGTTTCAGGAGCTGGTGTTGGGAGAGTCCCTTTCGACTAAGATTCCCATTGCTACGGTGTATATAACTGGTACCACTCTTTGTGGCGTACCCCTAGGCAGATTGCCTGCTTGCAGGAGATCCGGCTTTGGATCCATGCCCGATCTTGAATAGTTGGTGCGAGTCCCAGGCTTCGAGTTACTGTGCTGATTGGCTTCTCAGGTGTCCTTTGTTTGGGTTCAGGGTTTAGGGTCTAGGGTTTTTCAACTCCACTATCTCAATTGTGCTTCCTCTGCTCATTCTGGCTTTTGCCGCGCTGCAGGTTTTTGAGTGAAGGGTAGTTGGGTCAGTGATGGGACTTGGCAGCAGCCTGGGATAGCACCTTGTTGGCCTTCACCGGCCCTTCTGAAAATCGTGCACTGCCTAAACCCCAAAAGTCTGTAAAATAATAGCCCCAAACCCAGAATTACAGCCATAAGGCCATTATTTTACATACTTTTAAGGTCCAGGTACCATGTTTGTTTAGAATCCGTCGAGGCAGGGATTGCAGAAGTAGGAGGACCCATCCTGCAACAGCGCAATGTCGGAGATGCTGTCAGCCAGGACCGTCCTTGTACCCTTAAATAGGGGTATATGGTCCCTAATAGGGGTATAATAGAAGGTAAATGGAGGGTCTAGGAGGGGTACTTTCCCATCCTGTAGCACGGGTCAAATGTATCAAAGCACGTGACCCTTGTAAGCGTCTGTTGCTTCTTGTAGCTTCTTCAAGCTTCAGGACATGGGGATGCGGCGGCTACACGTCATGGCGGGAGGTTGCTTGTACATCTCATACATTAAGCATGTGTTCCTCTCTAACTATTCCCTAAACTGTTCGAGAACCTTGGGTTCCAGAAGTCCTTCAGATCAGCCGAGGCCAGACAAGTTGGAAATAGACGCACCGAATCCATGCAATCCTTTGTGGGTTGCTGGCGCATGGTCCGTACCCCGGAGATCAAAGGAGCACAGTGCTCCGTGTTTTTCTGTAGTCTTGTATGGTTTGCGCGTTCGGCTCAAACTGGCGCTATGCGTTCTTTCCGGCATTCATGAAGCATGTTGCATGAGATTTAGCGAACACTATATATACGTGCTTATACAAGCTATGCGGAGATTGCATGCACCACTTTATCTTAGATAACGTTTGTCATGTTGTGGATTCCAGCGTGCCGCTGGTTCTAAAGACCAAGCGCAAATGGCAAACTCTTTATCACTGTTCAGGTGTCCTTGCAAAAAGACTGTCGTATTTGCAGGAATACCGTATATCAGGGGCGGATATGGGAATACTATTGGGAAAGCCAGACTCTTTAGGGCTTGGGGTTGATCACCTGGCTGCTCAACTGTCTTGTCATGCACTGGTGCATGAGATCTGCCCGGGGGCTGCTCCAACAACTTCTGCATGACTCCAAATTTATGGCACGACATTGCATGGACCACTCACTGTGAAAAAAACCCAGCACAGGAAATGAGAGAGAGACTGTGAAAGCTTTCGTTCAGGCACGTGTTCTCGCAATGCAAGAAGTCTGTTGCTGCAAAGAGCACATGGCTTCATGTCATGTTTACTTCCTGATGTTACGGTTTGCCGTGAAAAATGTGCGAAAAGCGCAGACACCGCGCGAAAGAGGCACGTGTACCGGGAAGGGGGCATGCCATGTAGCTTCCACGGAGGCGAGCCTGGCAGGTAATTTGAAACAGTCGCTGGACAAAAAGCTGTGTGAGAAGTGCCTGACGGTCTACTTGCAAAGTGCAAGTTTCCATGGGCTGCGAAACAGGCGCGAAACTGCACCCAAAGCGTACGCGAAAGACCCATTTCTGTGAAAGGGAATACTCTAAGGGTCCAAGTACCTAAAAATCATATACTTACCCCAAAACCTGTACTATGATTGCTAATTACTATTGCCGGGCCCCAAGCCCAAGTACCTAATTATTGGGTACTTGGACCCTGTGGAATGTTGAAACAAAACACGCATGAGTGTGAGTCGGGCGAAGCTGAATCGCTCCCGAATCTGCTTCGAGTCCTGCGGTTTGGGGCGTATGGGTTTGGGTTCAGGCTTTAGGTTTTAGGCTTTAAGGTTGAGGGTTCCGGGTTTAAGGTTCAGGGTTTAAGGTTTAGGGTTTAAGGTTCAGGGTTTAGGGCTTAAGGTTTAGGGCTTTCAGGAGCTGCAGGGTGCCCTTGACCACATGCCATGTAGTCGAGTATCTCGAACGGAAATGATTATCACTCAGAACTCCCCAAGGCAGTCAAAAGCAGGCTTAGCTTGAAGCTCCCAAAGTAAAGCAAAACCCTCACAGCCTCTAAGCAAAATGCTCCTGCCCCCCCTGGACCTTACAGCTTTCAGCATCTAAGGACATCGGAGGCTCCTGGCTCAGGAGCCGCACACCCAGCATTTTTTTGTTCGCATGCCGGGGAGGGTTGGGCATGTTAGTACCTGGACCCCAAAAGTATGTAGAATAATGGCCTTTTGGGCTATTATTATGGGTCTAGGGCTATTATTTTACATACTTTGGGGGTTTAGGTACTGCGTGGGTCCTTTCACAGGGTGGTATCTCGTATGCTATGGACACTCAGGAGACAAACCTGCTGTTGCAAGGATCACCTAGACAAATACGAACTCTGAGAGATACCGCGTGGATCTAAGCCCCCAATCCCAAGACCCCTGCCTGAACCTTCAGTCTGGACACCAGACAGCAGCGACCTAAGGCTTGGGATTGGGGGGCGCATGTAAGCTTGTGAAGTAGGGCCTACATAATTGGCATAGGGTTTGGGGCTGATTGTACTACAGATAGGTTTGAGGAAACACAAAACCTCATATACACCCTAAGCTCCGTAGACCCATCTAAACCCCCCAAGCCCTAAACCCTAACCGCTAAACCCTAAACCCTAAACCCAACCCAAACCCTAAACCCTTAACTGCACGTGAAGCCAGGCTGTTGAAACCTCTGAGGCACCGTTGGTGATGACGTGGTCCCAGCAGTGCAGCAAAGTGGGCGCAAGCCAGAACCCTGGGTTTCGGGTTAGGGTTTAGGGTTTAGGGTTTAGGGCGTAGGGGTTAGGGATTAGAGTGTGGGGTTTAGGGCCTGGATTTGAGGGATTAAGGTTTTGGGCCCAGGTTTTAGGGATTCGGTCCTAGGGATTCGCTGGCAGCTCCTATGTCATCCTTTCTTAGGTAGCATAGTAAGTATCCCTTACCAAGAAATGGCAAACAGAAACGACATAGAAGCCTTTGGGTAGGGGCGAGCAGATGCCAAGAGAGATCCCCTTCCAAAAAAAAACTCCACACATGGTGGGGGGTTTCTAGGGGTGTCCTGAACATGATTTTGGTCTTTTTGCTTTTTGAAGGTTTCCAGGGCAAAGTACGGTTTAGGGCTTTTGGTTCAGGGTTTCCCAGTACGCTTGAAGTCATATGAGCTACGGACTAAAAGCAGATTGGGGGGGACCTATACGGGGATGTATAGTGGCTTTAGGGAGCACCTTTAAGGAATATGCTACAACTTTAGTCCAGGGTTCATGTTTTCCTGGATCTTCCTCAATTTGTACACGTAGGGGTCTGATGCTGAGCCTGAACGGTCGTTAAACATACTTGTCCTTCAAAGACCTGCTCAACAGAATCCTGCTGATATTGGACAGTATTTTTCAGGATGCTTGCTTCCTGACTCGTACTTCGCCTTAGGACGCAAAGCGAGTAAGATTGCCAGGACTTAGCAAGTCTGCTCTACAAGGGATGGTTGTTATGAGGACCTCCAAAATGCTGCCAGGGCGTCAGCGTATGCTAGTATCACCTGGATGTGCTGTAGCCGTGAGGTACCGAAATAGTTGGTTACTTGGGACTTTTGTAACATTTGTTATTCTTACAAATTGTATTGCAGGTAATGCGCAAATCCTTAAGGTAATTTGGGCTTAGGGTTCTTTGGTTATGTTTCAGGGTAGAGCCTCGTGCAATAAGCAGAATCCGAATCACCGATTCTTGCAAGACTACATCTTAGAGCATGCATCCACCTCGACCACCTAGCCCTGAACCGCAAAATTCTAGACCTCAATTGTGGCGCCTCTTCATTATTGTGGTACAATGCGCATGTTTGGCTTCATGGGTGCTGATTTCAATTTCCGTGCTGCCTGTTCTTCAGCTCCATGTTGGCTCTTGACATGGAGTTTTAGTATTGCCACTCCCAGTGTCATTTGAATTCGAATGCTCCTTCCAAATCCTAGACCCCAAACCTTAAAACCCAAGCCCTAAACCCTAAACCTCTACCTTGAAATCCCCCAGACTCCTAAATCCCAAGCCCAAGAACAACTGCTGAGTATTAAGGTTATATGGGGATAATGGACAAGAAAATGGAAACTACTATCGTATACCGGCAGGTTGTCGTGATGGGCATTCTATATCCCCCTAGAAAGCAAAACCAGCTCCATATTCTCGTTATAATAAAAGAAGAGTATAATCTTGCTTGCTAACACTGAGCCCTGGACCCTACACCAATCAACCTCAACCCTAAAATCCTAAAGTCCCTAAACCCTTAACCTTGAACCCTAAACCCTAAACCTTACACCCTAAACCTTAAACCCTAAACCCAAAACCAAACAATAGCAACTCCAAATCGAGCGAAGGCCTGGTGGCCCAGACCACTTACAGCCTTCCTACGGGAGGCTTGTTTGGCACCAGCCAGTTGGCCTGGGCCTCAGCCAGGGTTCCCTTTACAGGGGTTATAGGTGTACATATATATATATACATAAATGTATGTAGGGGAGTTATGTAGGGGCTAAATAGGGATTCATAAAAGGATACCAGAGGCGTGGCCCCTGCTAGCAACTTTTGAAATGCCGACTGAAAAGATACCTGAGAAAGTCATAAACGATACTAAGCAGTACATTGGGTACTGCTCCCACTGCAAAGCAACTGGATAATATTCACAACAATTTTATCTAGCCCTGAATATGACCCTAGTGCAGACTGTTACAACGTAGAGGCAGTACCCAACCAATACATATAGAAAACTGGTTTGGTGGGGAGGAAGTCATTGTGACGAAGCCCTGCGCATCCCAAAACTTTCAACCCTGATCCGGAAGCGCGGGTTCTAGGGTTTAGGGCTTAGGGAACTCCAAACCCTAAACCCCCAACCACCCAAACCCTTAACCAATCCAGCTGACTGCCTTCCAAGTAAGGTCTGCAAAAAGTCATCAGGACACTTATAGGAGCCCCCTGTTCTCTGGAATCCTACCACATCCAACCCCTCTAGGGAACAATTGGCTCTCTTCAGCGGGCTTGAGTATTCCTCATGGAATTTCTTAGCTGATGCCCATGCCTTGACAGGTGCCATCCCTAACCGGCAACACTTTCCAGCTCAACGACTGCGTGGGATACACGCCGGACGCCTACTTGAGAGAGACCATAGAAAATGCGACGTCATGCTCGAATACTGTACTTGCAGTACTCATATTCATAATGAACATTTGAGATGAACTACAACCCCAAAATCAGAGGCAAAATAAGTTTAGAATCAGTGCGCTTGAACAACCGTAGTGCAATGGACCAACGTGCTCTCACAGATTGTCTGTCATCAGGCGATACTACATCGATGAGAAGGCAAGCGCTTCGGTCGTTCAGCGTAGCTTTAGGGAAGTCACCAAGTCAATAGCGAATGTGCTGCAATGCTTAAACAAACTTAGTGTCACAGACTATGTCATTGGGAGGGGTTGATCTACTATTATAGAAGTTGCAAGGATTCAGGGGCGCCGGTCACTATGAGGAGGCTGTATCTTGTCGTCTTGTTGTGGCCTCATTCATGGTGCCATTGAAAGGTTGTCCGTTTACTGTGAAGCAGAATGCTAGCAACAGCTTAAACTCAAAGGGTCCATATAGCTATGTAGTGAATACTTGGGCTCTAGAGTAGTTATATAGGAACCCCTTTGGGCCCCGAGTATATGCTATATACCTGCATGAACCCTTTGAGTAAAACACCCAAGACCACCCGGCTAGGTGTACCACGTGGTCGGAGAGCCTGATGCTCATGCTTGTGAAATCTATGGCTCTTGCGCTCCTGCCTCAGTATGTAACTTTACTTGCCGGTGCTGCAGGGATTGTGAGGGAGTAGACCCTTACAATTATCTTTATATAATCCCCATATATACTCTATATTGGTACCTATCTCAGTAACTGTTCCGGAGGTAGCGCAAATGTCGCAAGGGTGCATGTGCGTTACTCTCGCAGAACGAGCGACAGCTTCATGATGATGGTGTTCCTGATGTTGATCAGGCTATGTTCTAGGTTGGAAAACTCGTGCTTGGAAAGCCCATGTGCATGCATTGACTAGCATCTTCTTTCCAATTGCCGTGCCGCCTCCTGTTTGAGTCTGGGGCTGGGCTGTGTCGGCTGCGACCTGGGTACACGTGCTTTGCTGAGGATGGCTCAGTCTTTGTGCAGCTCATCATCCGGGATCACGTCTGATCCCCGGAGCGTATGGGAATATCCGGAACTAAGTGGTATCATTTTGGGGGTCCCAATATTATGGGTCATAGAGCTTTGAATCTAGATTGGGGTCTTCCCCCGGGCTCGAAGCTACCGCATGAGGGTTCAAGGTTTGCAGGGATTGCCTGTGATAATGCATGCAGCCCCGAATGCAGTTCCACCAAGCTGGATGACAGATCCGCAAGCGTTACAAAACAAAAAGCAGGATCCTCGTGAAAGGGGCCGCGCGGAAACCAAGCAAAGCCTTCAGATAGCCCGCATCATCTGCAAAATCTTTGCCTGCACCTCAATCAACCCTGCAACTTACAGGTGCTTGACTTAGTAGGGAATGAGGGATTGTAATCTCTATTTAATCCCTATCTAATATATTCCCACATTGCTGGTTTGTAGCCCCCATTTTCAACACAGAAAGTCCTGTCAGATCCTGCTTCCGAAGCCTGAAGCCACAAATCCCTGAATCCCCTAAACTTCCAGGACCTCAAGGGTCCCAAAGTCCTCATGTCCACCATGCTGAGAAACCCTCCTGCTCCCCAACCCCCCCCCCCCTTCCTGTGGGCCCAAGCTTCTGCGAGATAGGGTACTCAGGTGCATGATTTGGAGTACTAGCCATTTGCCGCCGTTTCCAGGTATTTGCATTTGGGCGGATTGAGTTTGGCAAGCACGCCAAGAGGTTGTAGTTTCGTCCTTGGATGTGGATTTTGCAATCGCGGCCAGTGGTCAGCATTGAATCCACCTCATTTGTCTTTTCCCGTGGCTCAGTAACTTGTTAAAACTGGGCTTGTAACCTTACTCGGAACGCTCTAGATATCTTAGATGAGTGATCCCAATTCAGAAGTAATGCGAAACACATGGCTACTGAGTCCCAGAAGCCTCCAGGTATAGCCGACGACACCAAGCCGGAATGCCCTAAGCCCCTATAGGCCTTACCCTAAACCCTGAGCCCTAAACCCCTAAGCCTTAAGCCCAAAACACGAAGGCAGGCCGCAAGATAGCGCACACGCCTTACCTCCGGCTTTTCCAGAGCTCCTTCAACATCGAGGCGATAATCTGCAGTCACAGGGTGTAGGGTGTAGGATTTGGGGGTTATCGGGTTTAGGGATTACAGGGTTTGGGGATGATAGAGTTTAGGGATTATAGGCTATAAGGGCACGGAAATCATACCCATGTTTCTGAAGAGTTTTGAAGGTTTGCAGGCGTCTCCCTTAAGGAGCATATGATGCTAACTTTCTCAACATAGTTTTGAAGTTTCACATTTTTTCAGAGACCTTCATCCGTGTAAGCTCCCCGGATGTGATCAGTTTTTTCACGGTCAAAGAGCTTCCGGGTCTCAGTAAGCCGGGTATGCTGCTAGGCCATTGGGATATGCACCTGCTCTGCGGTCATGTCCCCAAGTAGCTCCCAGCTCCCTGTATATCCCCGACTAAAGTGTCAAATCCAATCCCCGGGTTTAGGGTTTAGGGTAGAAATGATGACCATGATGTTGCCACACTCCCTGCATTCCGCGTCAGGATACCAGTGGCCTGATCGTAGCACACGTGGAAAGGACTGATCGGCTGTGCAGTCTGAACTGGATGGCAGCTACTTTGTAATATAAGACACCCTCTCCGTATATTATCTGTATACATGCTCTTCTATGTGATGACGCCATTTGAGGAACATATACCTTTCTTACATTTCTTGCGGCTTGTGACTAGAGCTCTTGCAAGGTTTGGCTCTTCACAGCTTGTGGATGCATTGGGGCTTGGTCTACTTGGCGTTGGCTTTGGCTTGGTGAAGGCACTTGCCATTCTGTCCCACCTGACTGTGAAGGTGGGACATTCGTCTCAATGGGGTTTAAGGGTTTAAGGTTGAGGTTTATGCCCAATGGGGTTTAGGGCCACTTGCCGTGTGAAATTTCCGCCTTGGCGCGCTCACTTTGCAAAACAGACCTCCTGCCCTATCTAAACAAAAGGTCCGTGTGACCCTGAAGTGACCCCTCGCATCGTCGTTCCTACTTGGCTGATGTGACTAAAGTGAGTCACTGTAGGGAATGAAGAAACATAGATGGGGAGTATAGTAAGGCATAAATTATACAAGGACGGCGACGACGACGACGGCGGCGGCGGCGGCGGCGACGACGACGACGACGACGACGACGACGACGACGACGACGCCTGCTGCTGCTGCTGCTACTACTACTACTACTACTACGACTACTACTATTACGACTACTACGACGACGACGACGACCACGACGACGACTACTACTACTACTCTTCCTACTCCTACTACTTCAGCAGGGTTCACTAACATGCGCTAGTCAGTGTATCCATGGTAACATCAGCAATGTTCTTTGGCAGACTGGCAGGATTGGACACTGGAATCCTATGTCCAAGATGTGCTCTTCCAAGGGCCACCGGTGGTCAGCTCCTCAGGTTACAACAGAGTCAAGTGTTTAATGAAGAAAGTTGCCTAACCTAAGTCCCTTAGTCGGGGATATATGGCCCCAAATAGCGGGTACCTAGGCCAGAGAAAGAGGGTAGGTGGAGGGTTTGGGCCAATGACCATTGAGCATGAGCGATCTGTTGTGACGCGTCAGCAGCCTTGAATTCATCGTTGACGAGCCATCCGGTACCTCCGGGCTTAGGGGTTTAGGGGCTTAGGGGTTTAGGGTTTTGGGGGTTGGGGTGTAGGGTTTTGGGTTCTCCGGCCTGTAGATGCATTCCCAAAGGGTGCATGTAGCTGTATGATATATACTTGGGCCCCAAAGTAGCTATATGAGCTATAGTCTCATCTCCTTAAAGGGAGTCATATAGGGGATTCTATGGGAAATTCTTATGGGGCTTATTGAGGGGAAATACGACGAGTTCAGACTATGGCTCATATGAAAATCTCTCTGGGCCCTGAGTATTTACCATATGGGTTAGTCTCAAAATTATTGGCCCCTTCTGCTTAAGATTATATTACGGCACCTTATATTTAGGGGTACCAAAATGGGACCCTAATTTCTGGAACTACCCCATATAGCTACATGGACCGTATGGAATTGGCTGCGTTAGGAAGATGGAAGAGGTCACTTGATTTTCAGACCTCCCTCATGGCAGGGCAGCAAGTGACGAGACATACGGTTGAGGGTTAAGGGTTTGGGAAAGTGCTCGGAGGGTCATGGGGACTTGGTGAGTAGGTTAACAAGGGGGATAACTAAGGCTACACTATGGGTTATAGGGGTTATCAACCTACTTACTAAGTCCTCCCAACCCTTCAAGTGGGGAAGTAAATCCTTAATCGGAGTCTATGTTGGGGGCCCCCTATTTACTATAGCCCGTATAGCCCCAATCGAGAGGCCTCTCGGATCGATAGAATGTTACCCTCGGCTTTTCCGTAGTTCACCCTCATTCGTGCAGACCTTCCTCTTCCGCGACCACCTTGTCCCTGAGGGAGGGCTCATGCGTTCCTCCCACTGGAAGATGTAGGCTTCTCCAAAACATGCAATACTTTTGTTTGTCCAGGTCAGGAGGGTTGGGATTCTTTTGGGGAGGCATGAAACGAGTGAAGTCTAGCGTCACGTTGGTAGACGTCTTCCCTACGTAGTATACACTTGGGCCCTTCGAGTAATTAGTCATATAGGAACCTTTTTGGGTCCTAAGTAAAGATAATATGATATACCTACTATACCTACCCTAAACGCCAAACCTAAACCCCAAACCTGAACTCAAATGTAAACCCCAAATCCTAAACCCTAAGCCCTATACTATATAGCTACATGGAGCTTTGGGCTTGAGAACAGCTCCAAAGGCTGGTGAAGTTTCCGGACCTGACCATGCCAGGCCAGCAGCCGAGAAGGAAGCCTTTGCAAAAATGGTTTTAGTATTACCCTAGAAGCCCTGGTACCCATATAGTAGGTCCTTGGGTTACAGATAATATAAAATTGAATAGGGACTTCAGGACAGGAACCCAATATATCGGTAACTGGGCTTCTAGGGTTATACGAAGGGAATACTATAGGGTTTACGGTTTAGGATTCCTGGGAATGAAGGAATGGAAAAGAAGATGGAAAGTATTATAATGCGTTTTCTACGGACTACTATAACGATCCAATTTTTCATTCCTAGCTAACCAAAGGCCAGGAAAGCAGTAAGGAGCTGAGGTTTCGATGCCTTCAGGCATTTGGTGGGATTTTGGGCTCGCGTTTTAAGAGCACTTTGGTAGCACTTTGGTTGGTTCTGTTTCTCGGCTCGTGCTCTGGGTAGGGGAGTGCGTGCGCAGAATGCGCTCTGTTCTAGTCCCAAGCTGTCCACCTAGGTATTTAGTATCTACCTAGGGCTCAAAGGAGTTCCCTTACAACTATTTCATGGCCCACGTATATACCATAGAGCTACATGGGCCCTTTGGGTCTGTTCTAGTTCAGACCTACTATTATCATGATGAGCATTATCCTCTTTAGATGTTCTTATACTCCGATGGTTAAGTGTGCTCCCGCCCGCCTTCCCCGCCATGAAGTTTGCCCAAACCCCACACCACATAAGCAACTATTAAGTATAGTCATAAACTTCAACGGACCGCGTAAAACAGGATAAGCATGCATATACACAGAACACGTGAATAAGGCTGACCTACTCTGAGGCGCATCCGCCATCTTCCCCACCGCAGCAGACCGGTGGCCCGTGGCGCCATCCTCAGCATCAACATGTTGATCGACGTGCCTCTCGAGAATGGGCTTATAGGGTTTATAGGTTGTTTATGGAGGTGAAGGGCGCGTGCTTGCGACACATCCTTTTAGCAAATCTAACGAGTCAGATCCTGTTACAATGCAAGGGAAAGCACTTGGGGTGCGACTTGTCGAAGTATCCAATCGTATGCTACACTACATTTGATCTGAGGCAACCAGGGGACAGGAGTTACGATGTCGGGGACTTTATATGAACCTTTTATACCCCTCATATAAGCTCTACTATTCAACCTTCCCGTCTTGTAGTTGGTCTTATAAAATGACTGAGTTGCTGTTCAGGAGCTTAAACTAACTTACTGCTTTGGGGTAAGTAACCATATTAAGTACTACTATATACCCATTATGGTAACTTGACCTAAGTTCCTTAACAGCAACCCACGATCTTTCCTAAGCCATCAGGTCAGCGCCTCATTAGCGCAAGTATCCCAAGGGACCCGTGCACCTCAAAGGAGCTGCAGTCGCCCCTCCTTTCAGGGGGTTTTCTATGGGATTATTAGGGGAAGATTATAGGGGTTGTTCAGGGGATGCTAGGGTATAGCTCAAATGCACACCGGGGATCGCCTTCAACAAAACTACCATGTTTGTAGTGGTCGCAGAATATTTGTGCATCAGGAACTAGCATCCGTGACACAAATGCAATCCGGGAATGCGGTGCCCAATCATGGGACGCTATTTGGGGGGGTTTCCAACAATTAGGTTACCTTTTGCGGGATCCCCATGCTAAGGATCAGCACATTGCAGGCTTATACTGCGGAACCCCCTTCCCCTAAAGATCCAAATAGCCCAATGTAGGTAATGTCTGTAGACTTTAGGGCCCAATGTAGGTACTATTTGTATACATGGTCCCTAGATTTCTTATGGCAACTACCTTAGCCCTTGGCCTTGCCCAAGTTGCCAGAAAACCTGCCAGTACCCATGCAAAAAACCGTTCCGCACACATGTGAGCTATAGTCTAAACTCCTTAATGGGTGGTTATATAGGGGATTATATAGGGGACTACTATAGGGGTTATTAAGGGGGATACTAGGAGTTTTGACAATGGCTCATGTGAGGACACCTTTGCAATCCCCGTGATTAGAAACACTTTCCTTTCATGCCAAGCAATACTTAGACCTTCCATCTATTTCCTATTATATCCGAATACCACATGCCCACTTTTAGGAACCATATACCCAAAATTTATGGGTAGTTGGATGGCCCTGGTGTTACAATCTCTGCTAGACCACCTTCATGGTATACTTGCTTTCTTTCAGGCCCCATGTCTCTCACATCGCTCCCGAACCTGTCTATGATATTTATGTGGTACCTGTGTACCCCACCTCAACTGCAGGTTAAAGCAATGACGCATATGTATGTGTATGTGTATATATATATATGTACCTATTATACATACACACTGTGCTTATATGTGTATATATACATATATATAGAGTATACATACACAAAGTCCTTTTAGGCTTGTACATATACATATATATATCTTGAACCCGAAGCCCGGCAACTGAGGCCAACTATCAACCCTGAATCAGCTCAAGGCCAATAAAAAAAAATCCCTAGCATACGCTGCAGCATGCTGCAACCTTTACGAAAAGCATAGTATCCTAGACCTCGAAACAAGCATTTGAAAACATCTTTAGCCCAAGATGATGAGTAATTACTTTGAGTACTATTATTCTGGGTATTTCGGAGGTCTAGGATACACCCTATGCAAACCCCTAAGCCCTAAATCCTACGCCCTATACATCCTCACCCTCGATCCAAAACCCTAAATCCTCAACCCTAAATCCAAAACCCTAAATCCTAAACCCTAAATCCTAAATCCTAAATCTACCCTAAACCCTAAACTCTAGACCGCCTACTACAGGCCAAGCTGGTAACCATCATGATGCACCCTATTCAGGCCCGTAAACCCTCAAGCCTAAATCCTAAACAATATAAAACCCTGGACTACCCCTACTAGAGGCCAAGCTGGTAACCATCATGGCCACTCGGGACGCGAGTCGCTCATCCAGTGGCCTGGTGAACCCCAGCGTTTGCGAGGTGGAGAAGACTGGGTGGGGATCCTCAAGTCAGGATTTAGGGGTTTTTTGGGGTTTAGGGATTAAGGGTTTAGGGATTTAGGATTTAGGGTTTATGATGTAGGGTTTAGGATTTAGGGTTTAGGATTTAGGGTTTAGGGTTTAAGGTTTGGGGTTAGGGGAAGGGACTTTGGGGCGTAGGCAGGGCAAAGCAGATTGAACGACTACGTTTTGTAACGTTTTCGTGTCAGGGTTAATTACTGGTGATTGAGGGGGAGAGTGGGGGAGTCAATAGAGAGACTGCTGTAGGTGTGTGTCAAGCAACCAGCAATGGGTCGCACAAGGCACTACTGTAGGTAAACTAAGGCACTACTCGCTTCATGTTTAGGGGCTATTACTGTACCGGGAATTCACCTAAAGTGTAGGAATCTCTTCAGGTACCAGTAAGTCATGGGGAGTGGTCGAAGGTGTGGAAGGGAGAGCGGTTTACTTCCGCAGGGAATGAACGACTGGGAAAGGAATCTACTACCTTGTTCGGGGTTACATACGGACTTCCATAAGGATCCATTCCTTGCTAACCACAGGTGAGTGCCAGGACTGTCTTCTCAAGCTAAGGACCACACACGGTCAACAGGTTTTTCTCGGATCTCATATGTAGGTGTTCCTGGGGAAAATATCATACAGTCATTTTCGTCCCCCGAAGCCAAACCCTGACCCATCCAAAAAGTTAGGTGAATCCCCCTTACAGCAAAAGCCTTTGAATTTGGAGTTCATATGGCCTTAATATTACTACACTCGCCCCTTGTGGTACCCATTTCTGGGCAGGGGATTGCCCCAGCCTTAACGGAACTTCAAAAAGGTCCCTAAACCCTAGACCCTAAACTGGTGGAGCCTAGGAGAGGAGGAGGACCGATTTCCCAAACCCACAGGGTAGTTACAACCAGGTAGAAAGTCCCCCTGAAGTAGATAGAATATGGGGTATATGGGGATCTTATTATAATATGCCCAACGCCATATTCTAGCTACTTGGGGGGGAAATAACTGGTGCCAGAGCCCGGTTATAGGTTAAGGGTTTAGCGTTTTAGGTTTCGGGGACAACTATATAGTGAGAGTATAGGCGCAGGTATGATTGGGTTATCAGGTTGCTGGTGGTGTCCCTCGTCTTCTTTGTGGTGGCAGTGGCTGCTCTCGGCATACTGTCGGACCCCAAGTTGGTTCAGACCCTAAGGGTCCAAGGACCCAAATAATAGGGTCCCCTTAAAGGGGTTGTAGGGGGAGACATAGGGATATGTGGGGACTATATAGGGTTATATAGGACCCAAATATTATAAGATTAGCGGTATTTGGGACCTAAAGCCCCATTATACCCTTAAGGAGATTAGGGTCGCACATTTAGGGTCTAGGGCGCACCGGGCTGTTTGTAGAAACATGGTTCCTCCAAAGGGTGACCAGGTTCGTAAAGTTTCTCAACCCTTCTCTTGACGTCACCTAAAGCTAGTTTTGGAATGTAGATGCATGGCCCCTATCTCGAGAGATGCCTATACCCCTACATGACGGTAAAGATGCCAAAATGTCAATACAAAGCCCTCTGTCATAGGTACATGGGCGTAGGGCCTTAAGCCCTGAACCGGGGTTTAGTGCTTCGTGTAATTTAGCTTTTGAAGGACTTGGATTTTGGAATCGCCCTACAGCCGAGGCTGTAGTCAGTGATGGACAATCCTTTCAGCGACTCCTACAGTTTAGGGTTTCCCAAAGGGTCCAGGTGCCTAATAATTAGGTCCCTTTAACAGGAATAAATATATATAGGATATATAGGGATAGAAAGGAGTTTATAGGTTTTAGGGTTTAGGGTCCAAGTACCCAATAATTTTGGTACTTGGGTTTTGGGTAATAGTAATTATAGTACAGGTTTTGGTTAAATGTATGATTCTTAGGTACTTGGACCCTTAGGGTTTACCCTTCGCAGAATAATAAGACTCCACCCCGTAATTTGACAAAACTTGCCCCCCAAAATTTTTAACCGTGATACAATGATGGGAAAGGTATCACTAGGGGGTGAGGAGGTTTATATTAGGTGGAGGGGGATACGTTTTCGTTCGCGCATTTGGGAAATTGTCATTTGACTTTCATTAGACTTCCAAGACCTGAAGCAAACTTCAAGTCCTCAATTTTTGTGTGCCTGCCTTGCTACGTGCTTTAATGTGCATATTGAGCTTCGCTGCTTGGTGATGATGCTCGAAATCTGCCTCAATGCCTCCAAAAGGAAAACTCCAAAGACCCCTCCTGGATCTATGCAGATTCAACTGTGACCCTTGCCTTTGCACCTTCCCCCTGCTAAGAATTCGGTGCCTACCACATCTGAGGTTTACGCGGGTCGGCGTTGCCCCGCTACAAAGCACTTGTCTGGAGTTTGAGAGCGCTTGCTGTCACGAGCTGAGCTCTAAACGGTTCAGGCGGACTTGGCCTAGACGGGGCGGAAACTTGACCTGCCATGGCAGACAAGTGTTGCCATGATTTAGTTCTTGTTCCTGTTTCTGTAGTATTAGAAGGTTGTCTTCACGTTTGCAACCATGGCTCAGCACTATAGTTGCCACCACCACCATGCCTGGAGCAGCCAACATCGCTGCCTCCGCCATCGCCACCGTCCTGGGGTCCCGCACAGGCCACAGCAACCGCAATCGCCATCATCACGAGCACCAGCAGCACCATCCCCAACAACACCTCCTTTAGCAACGCCACTCCTAGCACTATAGTAGCCATATGAATACCAAACAATTCCCCACTCGAAAGAAAGGTAGCTCCTGCCGAAGAATCCTGCATCATCACGACAGGGTGAATACAATCGAGTGAGCTGCCGCGTGCCCATTATGATGAATCCTTTTCTTCCCACCTTTGCTGCCATTCTCGCATCCAAGCTTCGTCTTGAAACCGTTGCAAACTGCTTCTCGACGGCGAGTCAAGTGCAGATTGCGCTAAGGTCCTCGGCGGAAAATGGGGGCGACGTCACAATTTCTGAAGTACACAGTTTGATGACCTGCCAGCGGCCTGGCAAGGAGTTCTGTTGACAATTTGCAGAGCCCAGGGTGGTGGTCTCGCTTGGTTGCTAAGGTGGTCATTGCGGAGCAGTCGAAACCGGCATGTTTCACAGTGGGTGCGATTCGCGTTGAAAGTCAACGCCGCGTGTGGAAAAGATGGCTGAGAAGAGCAAGGGACAGCCACACTGCTGCACTTCTCTTAACGTGGTACATCATAAGAAATTGGGGTTTTCGTGCCTATGCCGGATCGAATCGCGTACTTGTGCACCATCCGATATTTCCAAAGTAAAAGGCCTATAGTATTCTGTACGGGTAGAGTTGTTCCCGGCTCTGGAGAGTTTAAGAGCGCAAGGCGGGTTCCATTCCAAAACAGTTTTAAAGCTCTCGGAACCCATTCTGAATCCGGATCCAGAGTTCAGCTCCACTTGTTTGCAACACGTGCTTGTGCTCTACCCTGGCAGGTTCCCAAAACTTCTTCTCTCCTGCATACACCCGCATCCAATACAGGCTCAGCAAGCCCCACACCCTTGCGGTGCAATGAAGTTTAAGACGCCATGGTATATAGGGGACCCGAATATAGACCCCAAAAGACTTTAATCCTTATTATTGAGACCCTCAAAAAGTACCCATACTTTTGGGAAACTTCATATGGCTACCACTCAGTATGAAAGGTCCGGAACAAGGGCGATCGCACATCCCGATCCAGACCCCGATCCAGAGCTCCGGATCAAGTCCCCGAATTCCGTGCCAGACCCCTCCGTTCCAGACCATCGAATGCAATACCTGAAAAGTC